TCCTTTGAGGAAAAATATTAGTTTCCCACTTTTAAAACTTTAAAAGTTGATTTTGGTTCTATTATTATTAAGCTAATTGAGCATAAAAAGCAGTCAGGAGATGCCTGTAACTATTATGCCATCTTCTTAAGACATTGTGGACCGGTGAAGCAGATTTGCGTCTATACATTATTAGCTGTGCAAGATGGATGGCGCAGATCTGCGTTTTTAACACGCGCTTGGTTTCCACACACTATACACTTAAATACGCAATATATGGAGCCTTTCTCCAAATGGTCCTGCTGACGGATGTTTTTAGAAACGTGACCTCACCCCAAGTTGATCTGTGATAAATATAGAGAACAAACAGCTCTGTATTTTCCTCTGTTGCTCTGCTCTGCATTTAGTCAGCATTCAGATTTCAATCACTTTACACCCATATTGGAAAGACATAGTTCTTACTGGAAAAAATATCTTACAGAAGATGAAATTTCAGCGAAATTGTTGGCGGACACATTATCTGATGTTCCTGACAACGCTGATAGTGACAGTGAAAATGACAGTGACTCTTCTATTATTGGAAATTGGCAAAACAAAATTGTGTATCCTTTACCGAGTTACAGTGACAGTGAACAAAGCGCGAACGAAAGTAACGATGACACACTAGATTGGGCGGTTTCCACATGGGTAAAAACAGATAAAACACCAAATTTAGGGCCATTTACAAGAAACCCAGGGGTGAAACAAATTCCCTCTGACCCAACGAAAGTATCACAAGTAACAGGACTCTTTCTTGGAGACAGATTCTTTCATATGTTGTGTGAGGAAAAGAATCTGTATTACTTACAAAATCAGGAAAAGTATGTTACTGGTTCTAAGGGGTTGAAATGGTCAGATGTCACTGTAGCAGAAATGAAAAAAATTTTTCAATAATTATTCTAATTGGGCAAATCAGGAAAGATAAATGAAAGGATTATTGGTCTCCGGATCCATTTTTAGATAGTCCTATTTTCAGGAAACTTATGCACCGTAATAGATTTGAACAAATTTGGTGGTGTTTACATTTCAACAACAATGAACTTCTGCAACAATCAACTAACAGGCTTTTCAGAATTCAAACCTTACTGGATTTTTTTCTTGCAAGATTTCAGACTATAAGCCAAATCAACAACTTTCCTTAGGTGAAGCACTGATTCCTTGGAGGGGTGGGCTTCGTATACAAACATATAACCCGGGGAAACTTATAAAGTATGGCTTACTTGTTCTTATGGTCACTGAAAGCACCTCAGGCTGTATCTTGAATTTAGAAATTTATGCTGGTGAAGGAAAAATATTACAGGAAACTATTTTCACACTTTTGGAACCTTACCTTGATCAAAATTACCATGTCTAACAAGACAACTATTATAATCATGTGACAATTGCTGAAACTCTCCTTTTAAGACAACTTAGAGTATGCTAAACAATCGGCATGAAGAGGGGTCTTCCTCTAGAAATGAAAAACAAATCAGTCTCTGAAACATGGCAAAACCACATTCAGGAGAAAGGGTGAAATTCTTCAATCTTGGAGGGATGCTCGTGTTGTCAACGTGATTTCCACAATTCACGATTCAACAATGGTTGATGTTCCACNTATTTCTCATCTTATACAAAATTCATCTTTTTACTTTTCTAGTATAACCTATTTTTCTCCTTACTCTGCACTTTCTACTTCGATTCCCCTACTGTCTTATGTATTTCTTTTTTCTTCCTAGTTTCCTTGTATTTTCTTCTATCAATTTGAATATTTGCATAGGAGTCTTCTGAGTGTATATGTATATATGATTTGCAGATGTGAAATAAATGGTTTCTTTGCATTGAAGCCTGAGTCACAGGACGCAAGACAGTTCTTTCTATTACTTTCTCTACTTTCGGCTGGAGCAGTCAGACTTTATGGAGTTGTGAAGTGAGGAGTTGCTGCTACATCACTTACCTCCCCATTCCTGAGGGTTTATCCTAAAGAAATTCCTTATAGAAAACAAATGGGGTTGAAGAAACATGAATGCAGTTTAATTTACTCTGTGTTGAAATTTTCATTTAATATGTTACAATCATTTATTCTTGGCAATACTTTGTGTCTGTGTTTAGATGATTACATCGCCATTGGAGCTGACGAGGAAGAATTAGGATCTCAGATTGAGGAAGATATCCTTTGTGTGTGCACGATTGTTTTAAGTAATCTACTAGATTACTTAACAAATGTTTTTATGTATAGAATTTTTAATTTTTATTGTATTCCGTTTCCATCTTGATTGTATTGTTTTGATGGCAAAGGAGGGGGCCATCCATGTCATTTTATTCTTTTTGTTTTTCTGTCATTCAAAAGTAAAGCACATAGTGTTGATAGTATTTTTATTTTTCTGCCTTGCAAGTTGAGAATGTACCATTTTGTTTCAAGTTTTGCAAAAGGATGTGGAGAACACAAACACTGCTAAGAGTGAAGTAGGGTTTCACATTTGGGGAACTCAACAAGCATACATAATCCTGAGCTCATTATCCCGGAGGGAAGTGTGTTTATGCTGGGCACCATGGAAAGTGCTCTGGGAGAGGAGCCCTACTTATAGGTATGGGGAGCAGGGAACATCTAGGTGTGATGGTGGGACTGTCCTGGTTGAGGAAGTAGCCTTGTTAGAGACCTCTTCATGGGCTCAGCTTCTGCTGTGGCTAATTCTTTTGAGAAGAACCTGCTAAACTAGCTTATTGCTGCGCCAAGGGAGGAAATAAACCTTTAGGGCTACCATCAATGGTCTCTTCTCATAAGGTCTCCAAGGGAACTGTGTAGTCATTGAGACTTTTAGGATCCTTGTTAGAATTCAGATTTGGGCAAGTTAAAGCTTGTGTAAGTTCGAGCTCTTTTTAAAATCTTTTCTCAGTAAGTACCTGAGTTACTTTTTGAAACCCTGTTAATTTGTATGCTTCTGGCATTAAACATTAAAAAGAAAGCATCCTCATTCACAGCCTAGAAGTATTTGTGAGTTACAGATCAAGGAATCTGGTAGAAACAGTGCCTTGTTGTTAACAATCTATATTTGAAACTGTGTTTGTGAACTGCTTAGAAATGTCAGGTATTCTTTTTTTGGCAGAATAGGAAAAAAATGATCTTACCTTTAAATTTTAACCTTTTTTCCTTAATGGCCTATACCTATATATCAAGAAATAAGGAATACAGACATGAAATACAAAAATAGAGTACGAAGTAGAATATCAAATCTTAAGGATGCAAAGAATCCAAATTTAAGGAAAAATGTACTGTGTGGGAATATTCCTCCTGACTTATTTGCTAGAATGACGGCAGAGGTGAGTATATCTGAATATAATGTTTCCATGATGTCAAGTATAAAGCTTATTTAAATCATAAAGTACTATGTAAATACTACATATATAATAAATCATTATTAGCTATTTTATGTATTTATATGTTCAATACACTAGATAAATACTTAAGGCGATTGAATCTGCTTACATCAATACTTTGTCCCTTCTTTAACTGTACAATAATCTTTGGGTGTTTGCAGCTGTACCATGATTTTTTGGGTGATTGCCTTAAATCACTGTCTGAAGACAAAAATGTTTTAACTTATTGTGGATTTGTGTAGCATCAAAGAGTTGAATTTCTAATTGCAAACAGACTTTGAAATCTCTAAGCTCTTTTCATGGTTAAACCCTACAGAATTGGTCACATCTTATTGACTATTCCTTAAATTTGTATAAGGAATGCTGGGAAAAACGAAATCCATAGCTCGCTATTTATAGACATAGTTGTTTATAGATAATAGCTGTAATTTGTCTATAATCTTACCATTTTTAAGCTTCCAAGAGAGTGAATTCATCTTTCTATATAGCTAATAAAAATTGCTATGTTTTTAAAGTTTTTTAAAAAAATCTCATTAAAATATTTAAAACTATCACAAAGTAGAGAACATAGTATAATGAAATCCCATATATCTGTCACCCAAGCTTTGAGTATTTTCAAGAATGTCACCCTTTTCATCTATTCCTTTTTTCTTTTTCTTTCTTTTCTCCTGAATTATTTTGAAGCAAATCTCAGACATTCTGTTCTTTTACCTGTACGTACTTGAGGGGTATCTTTAAAAATATTTTTTTTATATAATGACATTGTCATCACCATATCCATGAAAGCTATCAATAATTTCTTGATATTATATCATTTTCATAATCATTTTTTCTTGGTTGTATATTTACTTTGTATCAGGATCCAAAGTATACACATTACCTTTAGTTCAGTCTTTTAAGATTGTGTGTATGTATATATATAAAAATCTAAAGTAATTTCTTCTCCTACTCCTGCTTCTGCTTTTATTTCTTCATGACATTGACCTGTTGAATAAACCAGTTTATATCTTCTGTAAACCATAGCATGAATTGTCTGTTTCTTCCTCATGATTTTATTAAACTGTTCTGTCTCATTTTCTGTAAACTGTAAGCTAGTTNTAATGCCTTGAATATAAAATATAAAAATATAGACAAATATTTTTTAAAAAGTATTGAAGAAGTATGTTCTTAGTATATTTTTATAGTTTTATGTAATTGAAGTTTAGAGATAGAGCCTATATACAAAAGCATAGAATTGTCATGTGTGAAGTCTGATGAAGTGGTAGGTAGATATCGTCTCTCTCTCTCTGTGAAGAAAATTTTAAGAAACAAGTCTGAGGTATCATGTAAAGGAAGATACAAGATTAGCTCTAAGTGACTTATAGCTGAAAAAGATTTTTTACATGTTGTAAAATTATGTTTTAGACGTTGGGTGTAAGAATTTAAGGAGAAAGTAATGTGTAAATGCTTAGAAAGGAGTCACCAGAATCTAAAAAGTGGGCCAGCAGTAGTGAAGTTACTAAGGGTAAGGCTCCATCGTCCACCAGGACAGTTTCCAGTGGGTGGGCTAAGCATGCTGCTACAGACACAGAAGCAAAAGCATATAATTGAAACATTTAAGAAGGGGGATTTTGAAATGTTGGTTTGTTCATTGATTTATCACTGACTGGTGGCATGCTATGTACTGGGAATATAGAAAGCAGGAAGTCCTAGTCTTTGCTCTTAAAAAGCCCAGTCTGGGGCCAGCCACGTGGCTCGTTGATTAAGAGTTGGCTTGGGAGCGTGATCTCTGAGCAGCAGGGCCGTTGGTTTGGATCCCACATGGGCCAGTGATGCTGCGTCCTCTACAGCTAAGATGGTGAACAACAGCTCCACCTGGAGCTGGGCTGCAGTAAGTCGCCGGCGACGGCGTAGACTGTAGTGGGGCTGCAGTGGGCTGCCGTAAACTACTGTGAGTGGCCGGCAGCCTGGGTGAGCTGCCGTGAGCCGCTGTGAGCGGCCATCCAATGGCCAGCGACCGAGCTGCCTCACCCGGGAAGAGCACAGTGATCACAATACCAACATGGGCCAGTGAAGCGACGTCCTCCACAACTAGACTGAAGAACAAAAAGACAGCAACTTGTCTGTTCCCCTTCCTTGNTTTGGGGGCCTTCCAGGTGAATTATAGAGAATAACCAGGGACAGTAAAATTAGTATGTGAAAATTAAAGCATACACTTATGCTACATGGTAGGGCACTTGAATTGTATTTCAGGTTTGCTAACCTAACCTCTGTAAGTTCTAGAATTGTGATTTGGACCAAACTGTGTCAGTTACTCTCATACAGAGTAGCATATTAGAGTCATCTGAGGAATTTAAAAAATCTGATGCTCCTTCCTCACTTGCCAGAGCTTTGCATTGAATGGTTTGGGATGGGAGCTTGAGCATGAGGGTATGCTTAAAAGTTGCCTAGGTAGTCGTAATACACAGTTGAATATATGTTCTTCTGTTTTCTGTACGGAGGGATGTGATGAATTATTTACGTAGCTCTTATTGCTTAGGTAGAGATCAAAATTTATGCAGTAGATCCAAACATTTTCGGAACCCAGCTTCAAGGCTGTTTTGGTTGATTTAAACATAAATGTTTCTTTTTAGTGCTTAAATATTGCATTGGCCCAATCTATTTTACATACTTTATGTCCCAAAATCTAATTGCTTACCTCCTTTAAGCCTTGAAGCTTGTGCACTCTGTATTACATTACGTATTACTTGAATAGCTTGCATACATTTTATTTACTTGTTGAAAACTTAGGATTTTAGGGGGGGTTTTGTTTCGTAAATAGCTTGATAATATGCAGTAGTTCAGGTTTTTTGGTTTTTTTTTTTTTAACAAATGCTAACAACTTAGGTATTTCTTAAATTTTCAGATGGACCATCAACTGATAAAGATCCTGAAGAAAAGAAAAAAGATACTGCAATTACATCACAGAATAGCCCTGAAGCAAGAGAAGAAAGGTATTTTACTTTATGGAAATTCATTTATGTTTAAAGTCATAGATTTACTTGACCATCAATCACCTCCTCTGTGGTCTTATGATCCCATATATGTACTCTTCTATTTTCTAATCAAATGGAATTAATAATGTATATAGCCGAATATTCTAAGGTTTCTTACAAGACTTCCTGGAAATTTAAGAGTTAGAAGACACTAACTACATAAATAGAAGAAATTATTTACATTGTACTCATTGAGTTTAATTGAATGGAATCTCTGAGATAGCACTACTAGAATTGACAATGAAGGTACTGATTCGGGATTCAAATGGTTGCATCCTCTATTTACCACATTTCTGTTTTAGATTTTTTTTTTGGCACTGGATCTAATTCTCCTTTTTATGTTTATTTTTCTTCCCAATTTAGCTATTTATTATAAGAACTTAAAATGTGAAGTTCAGTAATAAAGGGTTCAAATTGTTTCTCAGATCTTATGAGTCCTTTGCATTTATTCTTTCCTATTACATATAATGGACTGTGCCATATCCAACACATTGACGTAAAACGTGATATGCCCAGTAGATTAAATACAGTTCCTCTGTTCTTGGGAAGCTTGTAGTTTAACTCTTGACATTGATTTAGAGCGATNAGTAAAGAAAAAAACCTATTTGTATTTTTCAGTATAATATGTTCATGAAGGGTGTTGATAGGGCAGATCAGTACTTGTCTTATTATTCTCTCTTGAGAAAAACAGTGAAGTGGCCAAAGAAAGTTGCATTTTGGCTTATAAATTGTGCACTTTTCAATTCTTTTCAAATCTATCAAAAACTAAACCCTACATCAAAAACGAGATACAAAGAATTTCTGCTGCAAGTGGCATGGGCTACAGATAAGGCGGAGACAGACTCAGACACAGACACAGACGCAGCGTGCCCAGGAACATCAACCCAAACCCCTCGTGTGCCTCATGAGGACCCCCCTGGGAGACTTTTGGGTGATATGCACAAACATGTGCTAGAGAAAATTGCTGGAAGTGAACGGAGTAAAAGAAAATACCCTGCTAGGAGGTGCTTTGTTTGTGCTGCCACAAAAAAAGTGAAACTTGGTACATCTGCAAGTTCTGCTTAGTGCCACTCCACAAGGGGGAATGTTTCCAGAGGTATGACACCCTCACACACTATTAGGGTCTTTGGTGAGTATTTCCTGAAAATTTCAGTTCACAAAAATAGTTAGCAAATTTGTAATAAATTTTTAAAACACAGTATAAAAGTTGATTTCAATGGTTTAAACCCCGGGAACATGCACTTAAACAATTTAAATGCCCCATCCTCAATGTGTTAATAGGAAATGGCTAGTGATGAGCTCAAAGAGATGCGGAAAAACTTGACAAAAGAAGCTATCAGAGAACATCAGATGGCCAAGACAGGTGGAACCCAGACTGACTTATTCACGTGTGGCAAATGTAAAAAGAAGAACTGTACTTACACACAGGTTTGTGGCTGTTTATAGATTCTTATTTTCATATTAAGAATGCTTGCAATTCCTGTTTCAAAACAAGTAATAAAGGCAATTACCAGTATACTTTGTTTGATAGTTTTCAAGAGGAGAGGTAATTTCTTAAATATAAGAATGTTTTCTTAATACTAACAGATTCCAGTTAATTGAAAATAAGATGATATATTTATACTTTCATGGAAATTGTTACCGTGAAAGCTATATCAGTTAAATGAAGTTTATAAAATATTACAGAGTTTAATAAAATGGCCATGTTCTTTCTGTAAGAGTTAATAAGCATGTGATTATCCATTAGTATTCACTCGTATATAAA